GGGCCCTCGAAGGGAAAGGCAGGGCTAAGGGAAACACCAGAGGTGGTTTTTTGGATGGGCTGTAGTGTTAAGTGGAACCCTGAGAAACTGGTGATATTTGACTATTTCCAGCTGAAGAGAATGGTAATTTCATGTTCTTTGACCTAGTACAATGTTATACTATTGAGGAGGCGTTACTTTTAGAAGGGGAATTTGACGAAGCAGTGTTGAGGGAATTTGGCCGAAGGGAATGCCTTTGAGCCGTTGAGAGGAGGGTTTAGAGATCACCAGTGGAGTGTTGGCCTTGGAAGCATGGAGAGACAGGAGGGCATGTATTCTCAGTGATCACAGGAAGGAAGAATGATGTGCAGATTCTGCCCTGCTCCAGTGATCATAGTGACGCCAACCCCAAGCAAGAGGCTTCTGTGGGGCAAATAGCTGCATGACGATTTTGTAAATGTAGCAGTAGGTGTGCATAGGTTGGCTCTGTCCACAGGACAGTTGGGGGCACTGATTCTGATTCAGCAGACTCTGAATTTTCTCTCCAAAGTCTTTCCTGTCAGTGATTTTTTTTTCCTTTACTCAGTTATTCTCTTTCACCAAAAGCAGAATAAATCATCATGACCTTCTTTCCCACTCTGTGGCAGTGCAACACTGGCCTCCCTTTAGAACTGATTAGCAAATCAAAGAATAAAGCGGTTTTCTCACAAGTGATTTTCTTGCCCTACAGAAAATTGTCTTTTTCAATATTACCATCAGTGTTCTTTGATTTGTCAGCATAATTGAAACATTATCTATGATTTCTGTTACTTTAATGCAGACCGCAAGTGTATCTTTTTAAAGTCATATCACTCTTCTCTGACATGTATACAGAATTTGCTTATGGACGTATGTGTATTTCAGGAATTTCAGCTGTTTGGATCAAGACTTTATTCTACTGCATAATATAGTTTAGAAAATGATTTTCACTAGACCATTATGCTAACATATCCCCAGGCCAGGATTTTCTCTATGGGCTTATTATTCAGCACAGAGTTCCAGGTACTGATCTTTCATTGTATCTTTAAAGCTACAGTGAACTTGAAGTCATCCTGAGTGCCTGCTGGGTCCTTTCTCAGGAAACACCGATCGCCTGTGATGTTTATTCTGTATGGCACTCTCCATCCATGGGTTACGGCACTGGGGCCACAGTGAGAACATCCCCAAAAGGAACTTAATTAACTCTTTTGCAGTGTGTTCTTTTAAGCTGCAAGTAACTTTGCAATGTGCATGGCTCCAAAATTATCTTTTCCTGAAAGTACAGAAAGATCTGGAGAAACATAGCGCCCATGAATTAATTCATACATTGTAAGTGTCTGGTGAAACACATGGCATCTTTAAAAGCTCTGGAATGGTGGTATTTTAGACTGAGGTTTTATTTCATGGAGGTGTGTAGCTTTACTGCAGGCCAGACAAGTCAACACGTTCTAATTCTGCTTGGAATCAGGGGAACTTGATTTACTGTTGGATCTGCTGTGGTAGAAATTGTAAGTGTCACTGAAGTAGGCTTGTGTCTTCGGTGCTGGAAATATTCAGAAGAGCTCACAAAAGTGATTTCAAAAAGCGTCAGTCTGGGGTATTGTGACGATGAGCGAAGAACGTTCTCCCTTGTTTCAGATGCGAAGAACGTTCTCCCTTGTTTCTGACAGCCTTTGATAGTGCAGTTCAGCTCAGCTCAGTCACTCAGTCGTGCCCGGCTCTTTGCAGCCTCATGGACCGCAGCACGCCAGGCCTCCCTGCTCGTCACCAGCGCCCGGAGTTTATTCAAACCCATGTCCATTGAGTCGGTGATGCCATCCAACCATCTCATCCTCTGTCATCCCCTCTTCCTCCTGCCCTCAATCTTTCCCAGCATCAGGGTCTTTTCCAGTGAGTCAGTTTTTTGCATCAAGTGGCCAAAGTATTGGAGTTTCAGCTTCAGCATCAGTCCTTCCTATGAATATTCAGGACTGATCTCCTTTAGGATGGACTGGTTGGATCTCCTTGCAGTCCAAGGGACTCTCAAGAGTCTTCTCCAACACCACAGTTCAGAAGCATCAATTCTTTGGTGCTCAGCCTTCTTTGTAGTCCAACTCTCACACCCATACATGACCACTGGAAAAACCAAAGCCTTGACTAGACGGACCTTTGTTGGCCAAGTAATGTCTCTGCTTTTTAATATGCTGTGTAGGTTGGTCATAACTTTTCTTCCAAGCAGTTAGTGTCCTTTTATTTCATGGCTGCAGTCACCACCAGACCACCTGACCTGCCTCTTGAGAAATCTGTATGCAGGTCAGGAAGCAACAGTTATAAATCACAGCAGGATCCTCTATGACCCACATCCCAGAATTTTAGAAATAAAAGCAAAAATAAACAAATGGGACCTAATGAAACTTAAAAGCTTTTGCACAACAAAGGAAACTATAAGCAAGGTGAAAAGACTGCCCTCAGATTGGGAGAAAATAATAGCAAATGAAGAAACAGACAAAGGATTAATCTCAAAAATATACAAGCAACTCCTCCAGCTCAACTCCAGAAAAATAAATGACCCAATCAAAAAATGGGCCAAAGAACTGAACAGACATTTCTCCAAGGAAGACATACAGATGGCAAAAAAACACATGAAAAGATGCTCAACATCACTCATTATCAGAGAAATGCAAATCAAAACCACAATGAGGTACCATTACACACCAGTCAGGATGGCTGCTATCCAAAAGTCTACAAGCAATAAATGCTGGAGAGGGTGTGGAGAAAAGGGAACCCTCTTACACTGTTGGTGGGAATGCAAATTAGTACAGCCACTATGGAAAACAGTGTGGAGATTTCTTAAAAAGCTGGAAATAGAACTGCCATATGACCCAGCAATCCCACTTCTGGGCATACACACCGAGGAAACCAGATTTGAAAGAGACACGTGTACCCCAATGTTCATCGCAGCACTGTTTATAATAGCCAGGACATGGAAGCAACCTAGATGCCCATCAGCAGATGAATGGATGAGGAAGCTGTGGTACATATACACCATGGAATATTACTCAGCCATTAAAAAGAATTCATTTGAATCAGTTCTAATGAGATGGATGAAACTGGAGCCCATTATACAGAGCGAAGTAAGCCAGAAAGATAAAGACCATTACAGTATACTAACACATATATATGGAATTTAGAAAGATGGTAACGATAACTCTATGTGCAAAACAGAAAAAGAGACTCCTATGTATAGAACAGACTTGTGGACTCTGGGAGAAGGCGAGGGTGGGATTTTCAAGAGAACAGCATTGAAACACGTATATTATCTAGGGTGAAGCAGTTCACCAGCCCAGGTTGGGTGCATGAGACAAGTGCTCGGGCCTGGTGCACTGGGAAGACCCAGAGGGATTGGGTGGAGAGGGAGGTGGGAGGGGGGACCGGGATGGGGAATACATGTAAAAAAAAAAAAAAAAAGATACACTATGGTTGTGATAAAAAAAAAAAAAATAAATTAATAAATTAAAAAAAAAAAAAAAAGAACTGGACGTGGAACAAGAGACTGGTTCCAAATAGGAAAAGGAGTGCATCAAGGCTGTATGTTGTCACCCTGCTTATTTATTTCTGTATGTGTCTTTTATTAAAAAGGTGATCGATTATGTCATACACACAGTTTTCAAACTGTGTTTGCATCACTCTATCTTCTGAAAGTGGCTTCTCAATTTTTTTAAAAAATTGTATTTCAAAGTTTTTAGTGACTAAAAGCTATTCATGATGTTAGTAATATTGTTTGAGCAGTCCTTCACTTTGGGACATGTAGGTGTTTTTTTCTTTTCTCCTTTCTGTCTTTCTGTTATTTACTGGTGAGAGAAATTTTGTTTCTGGGTGTCCAGATTTATTTTGCTTTCTGTGTGTTTATTTTTTTAAACCTTAATGTGGACTTTTTTGCAGTCATGGGGAGGGCTATTGCTATGGCCTGAATACAATGCCACCTTTTTTGTTCAATGTAGGGAGCCATATCTAATGTTCATATGTCTTCCCAGCATGTAGCATTATGCCTGTACAGAGGGTGTTCACTAAAGCAGTATTGTTGCATTGAAGAAGTGTAGAGATCTATGTGACAAGCGTTTACGTACTATGTCTTTGGGACCCAGGATATTGGAGTGAACAAGATGAAGACTGTGACTGAGGTGGACTGCCATTTCCTCCTGCTGGGAATCTTCCTGACCCTGGGATTGAACCCTGGTCTGTTGCATTGCAGGTGGTCTCCTGCATTGCATGAATTCTTGCCTGACTGAAGCACCAGAGAAGCCCCTTTACGTAGACCTGTGTGACAGAAATAGCAGCCTCCTACAGATTGGAGGTTGAAGGCTTATTCTATAAAGGAAAGTTTTGTGTTTAGAGGTGGCAAGCCTCTACATGTGAGGATCAATTAAAAGAAACAAAAGTGCACAGTATAGTGGAAGTGATCTGAATGACTTACAGTGCAGTTGCTGGGGGAAGGCTCATACCAGTCTTTTTCACAATATAGCTAATTAAAAGAGTTGACTAGATTTTTCTATTGATGGTAGTTCTTGTTTAGGATTGTTCACTAGTGTTACTGATTGAAATGGAACGGTCATTTTCAAGTTCATACTTTTTTGTTCTTTTAAGTAACTGGACTCAATTGTACCTAAATTTAAAATTTCATACCTGAATATAATATAGTATTGCCCTTAGTGGTTTTAGAGCCCTGAAGGTCTTTTAGGACTGGGTTTGGGGTGATAGGAAACATAGGCCCAAATATTCTTGGTCTTTGTTTTGCACCCTTTAAAATATGACTAAACAAAGGTTGCGGCCATGGGGAAGGTTTTCTGCTGTACTCTGGTGTTTAAAACCCTGCCAGCTGCTCACGCGTTCAGTGACCCCACTTAGAAAAGTGAAGGGTGAGTGGCTACCCTTTTGGTCAGGCACATAGTTTTAAAAAAATGTTGTCTGTCTCAGTAGAGCTATCTTAGAGTTTCTTATAGCTGTCTTTTTCTTTTTTATTACAGGGCCAGCTTTCAATGTTGCAAGAAAAAATAGACCATTTGGAACGTTTGCTAGCTGAGAATAATGAAATCATCTCAAATATTAGAGACTCAGTCATCAATTTGAGTGAATCTGTGGAGGATGGTACGAAAAACTCAAAAGGCAATTTCAGCCATGGTGCTGGCTCTCCTCTTCTGCCGTCGAAACATTTGTCCCTCACAGTTGACCCTGGAGACTGTCTGTTTGCCTCACAAAGTGGAAGTCAGACTTCAGATGTGCAGGTAATGTATGCATTCATGAATTATTAGCGGGCTTTGATTTGTTTTTGTCTTTTTAGATTTGATTTGGTACCTGTTTATAGTTGCTAAATTCTTTGGATTACAGTTTCTATTTTTGTGAAGTCATTTAATTGGTCACATGATCATTGATGTTCTTTTTAGTGATAAAATTCTGTAATTCTATGTTTCTTCTAGTTTTTCTTTCTTTTATACTATGTGACTGTGGCCTTTTCTGTGTGCTTCTTAGGTTTTATTTTCTGTATTAGTTAAAGACCTTTAGAGGTTTAAATCTTGGCAAAGAGATTTTTTCCCCCTTCCTTTAGAGAATACAAGAAAAGCCCTACTCTTACTGTGTATCTGTCATACATAAGTTTCACACAGTGTAATGTTACCTTCTTTTTACTGAATGTGCCTTTGTGGAGGGGAAGGGAGAAGTCCACGAGCTGCCAGTATGAAGGCTGCTGTCCACCTGTGGCTAATGAGCACGCCCAGCGTGGCAAGTCTGAGCTGAGATATGCACATATCCACACAGAGTGCTGAAGATTTAGTGTGAAAAGAAGAATGTAAAATATCTTGCTTATTTTATTTTGATTATGTATTGGGATGGTAATATTTTGAATATATTAGGTTAAAATATATCATCAAAATTAATTTCACCTATTTTCCTTTTATTGGTTTAGTCAGAGCTGTATTTTAAAAATTAGTTGTGCAGTTATTTAAAAGGAAGTTGATATATATTTCCCTAAACATGATCAGTTTTACCATTTTCATTTAGTAGGAGATATTCTCATTCTCTTTATGATCTATAAGGCTATTCATTTTTCTGATTGATTTCCTTTCTTAAAAAGGGTTTATTTATGAATTTTTAGCTTGATCCTGTTTTTATTTCTAATATCTTTAGTTTGCTGCCCAGTAATATTTAAAGCTACTTTCAGATAGTAATTATTGGATTTTAATTTTGAGATACTATATTTTGGATTTCAAATAACTTCTGTCTTTCATTTATTTATGTTTACTTTTTCCTATCTAGGTAGTATGATTTTATTTTCTTTACACTTTTGCATTTATTTACAGAGACCTTCCTCCGCCCTGGATTCTTTTTTTTTTTTTTAATGAAACAAAGATGAATATTTTTTAATGATAGAATGTACAATTCACAAAGAAGATAGATGACATAAATGATTAGACACCTTAACAATAAAGAAACAAAGATACATAAAGGAGAAATCAGAAGAAATATGAGGGAAAAGAAAAATATATAATCATATATATAATATATCATGAGATATATTAACATTTCTCTGAGAATGTCATGTGCAGAAAAAATAAGAATAGGAGCATCTTGAGTGATGTCATTAATAATTTAAATATAATTGGTTTATATTTAATTCAGTTCAGTTCAGTCACTTAGTTTTGTCAGACTCTTTGCGACCCCATGAATCGCAGCACACCAGGCCTCCCTGTCCATCACCAAATCCCGGAGTGTACTCAAACTCATGTCCATTGAGTGGTGATGCCATCTAACCATCTCATCCTCTGTGGTCCCCTTCTCCTTCTGCCCTCAATCTTTCCCAGCATCAGGGTCTTTTCCAAAGATTTCAACTCTTCGCATGAGGTGGCCAAAGTATTGGAGTTTCAGCTTTAGCATCAATCCTACCAATGAACACCCAGGACTGATGTCCTTTAGGATCAGTTGGATCAGTTGGTTGGATCTTGCAGTCCAAGCGACTCTCAAGAGTCTTCTCCAACACCACAGTTCAAAAGCATCAATTCGTCAGCACTCAGCTTTCTTCACAGTCCAACTCTCACATCCATACATGACCACTGGAAAAACCATAGCCTTGACTAGACGGACCTTTGCTGGCAAAGTAATGTCTCTGCTTTTTATCTAGGTTGGTCATAACTTTCCTTCCAAGGAGTAAGCGTCTTTTAATTTCATGGCTACAATCACCATCTGCAGTGATTTAATTAATTTATATTAATCATATCCTACACAAATATATTTAATATTTTGTATTTTATACATTGTTTTTAGATATGCATAGGACATTTAGAAAAGGTGGCAAAAAGGTAGACATAACTAAATTTCAGAAAGTAGAATTCTTTTTTTGTGTGTGTGATTCAGTTATACACATATGTTATTTGTGAAATTATTTTCCATTATAGGTTATTACAAGATACTGACTATAGTTCCCTGTGTTATACAGAAAACCTTTGTTGCTTATTGCATATCTATTTTTTAGAATTAGAAATCTAGCATTCTGTTCATACTAAGTCAGACAAGTGGAATCAAAATGTCATAAACTTTTTAGTTAGGCAAAGATTCATAAGTCTTGTAAAATATACACATATTATATATATATACACACAAAAAAGCTTTTCTAATATGCTTGATAAAGGCTTGAGAAAAGAACATTAAAAAAAAGCGATGGATAGATTGGAAAACATAAACCAAATGAAATGGGAGCACTGAATATGAAATAGAAAAAGTGAAACAAGCTAGATAAAAGTAAAAGATTCTCATACAGTCTGGTTGCTTTTAAATATGACTGCTCATTAGAAACATATCTGGACCTCTGGCAAATAAGCAATTCTTGGGCATTTGTATTTCTCAAAAAAAATACCAAAGTAATTCTGTTCTGCATCTAGATTTCAAAAAGTGATTACAGGTTTTTCTATTAAATGGTAGTTTTGGTGATATAAAAGTCTATCTCTGATTTTTCTGTTGACCTATCATGATACAATGATATTAAGTGAGTAATAGTTATATCGTCACAATAGTAAAAGATGTTTATTAGTTTTCACCATCAATAGCTAGACAAAAAATAAAATCTATGCAAAAAATTGTATAGGTTACAATTGCAAGGTATAATGGAAACTTGATTAATCTAATTACATGCAATTTAGGGGGTCAAGCAGAGTGATGTGGTAAACAGACATGCATACATACACATGTTGTCATATCTGCTAATTAAGCCAGGCTATGTCTTTTGGTTGGTGCATTTACTCCGTTTGTGTTTAAGGTGAGTATTGATATGTAGACCGGAATTCGATCCCTGGGTCAGGAAGATCCCCTGGAGGGGGCCATGGCAACCCACTCCAGTGTTCTCGCATGGAGAGTCCACGGACAGAGGAGCCTGGGGGGACACAGTCCCTGGGGTCACAAAGAGTTGGGCACAACTGAAGCAACTCAGCATGCGTGCGCCCGTGACCCTGTTGCCTGTTTCTTAACTGTTCTGGATTCACTTTCTGTCGCTGCGGCTTTTCCTTCTCTTGTTTTCTGCCTAGAGAAGCTCCTTCAGCATTTGTTATAAAGCCGGTTTGAGGACGCTGAGTTCTCTGAACTTTGCTTGTCTAGAATGCTTTTGATATCTCCATCAAATCTGAAGGAGAGTCTTGCTGGTAGAGGATTCTTGGTTGTAGGTTCTTCCCTTTCATCACTTTAAATATGTCATGCCGTTCCCTTCTGGCTTGTAGAGTTTCTGTTGAGAGTCAGCTGGTATCCTGATGGGAGTTCCCTTGTGTGTTGTCATTTTTCCCTGGTTGCTTTTAATATTTTATTTCTGTCTTTAGTTTCTGTCAGTTTGATTACTGTGTATCTTGTATTCCTCCTTGGGTTTATCCTGCCTGGGACTCTCTGTGCTTCCTGGACTTGGTTGGTTTCCATATTAGGTAAGTTTTCAACTATCATCTCTTTGAATATTTTCTCAGGCCCTTTCTCTCTCTCTCTCCTCCTTCTGGGATCCCTGTAATGTGAATTTTGGTGCATTAAATGTTGTCCAGACGTCTCTTAGGCTGTCTTCATTTCTTTTCATTCTCTTTTCTATATTCTGTTCTGCAGCAGTGATTTCCACCATTGTCTCCTCCAGGTCATTTATCTGTGCTTCTGCCTCAGTTATTCTTCTCTGTTTGTTCTTTAGTTCTTGTAGGTCTTTCAGTTCAGTTCAGTCGCTCAGTCGTATCTGACTCTCTGCGAGCCCATGAACCACAGCACACCAGGCCTCCCTGTCCATCACCAACTCCTGGAGTCCACTCAAAACATGTCCATTATAAGTCTTTGGTATACACTATTTGCATCTTTCTCAATCTTTGCCCCCATTCTTCTTATGAGATCCTGAATTATATTCACTATCATTATTCTGAATTCTTTTTCTGGAACGTTGCCTATTTCCACTTCATTTAGTTGTTTTTCTGGGGTTTTTTCTTGTCCCTTCATCTGGGACGTAACTTTCTGCTTTTTCATGGTGATTATACTTTAGTCGCTGTGGGATTGTGGTTCTTCTTGCTTCTTCTGTCTGCCCTCTAATGGAGGAGGCCAAGAGCCTTGTGTAAGCTTCCTGATGGGAGGGACTGGTGGTGGAAAAGTCTGGGTCTTGCTCTGGTAGTGCCTGGGCAGTGCCTTGCTCAGTAAAGTTTTAATCCAATTATCTGCTGGATTTGCACTCCCTCCTTGGTATACCGTCTTTTGGCCTGAGGCCTCCCAGCCCTTGGGTGTACTGGCTCTGTGATTGGGTTATTGGGGACCTCCAAGAGAGTTTATGCCAAAGGGGACCTTCCCAGGCAGCTGCTGCCAGTCCCCTGGTCCCTGCAGCGAGCCCTTGCTGACCTGCACCTCCACAGGAGACCCTGCAATGCTAGCAGGCGGTTCTGGGTCAGTTTCCTGTGGCCTCACTGCTCCTTTCCTCTGAGTCGTGGTGTGCGCAAGGTTTTGTTTGTGTCCTCCAAGACTGAAATCTTTGTTTCCCCCAGTCCTGTGGAAGTCTTATAGTCAAATCCTGCTGGCCTTCAAGGTCAGATACCCTGGGGATTCCCGTCCCTTTGTTGGGTCCCGGGCCTGGGAAGCATGATGTGGGGTTCTGAACCTTCCCGAGAGGGGGAAAACTTCTTTAGTATTATTGATGTCCAGTTTATGGGTCACCCACCCCGATAACTTCCCTGGTGGCTCAGATGGTAAAGCGTCTGCCTACAATGTGGGAGACCCGGGTTCGATCCCTGGGTTGGGAAGATCCCCTGGTGAAGGAAATGGTAACCCACTCCAGTATTCTTGCCTGGAGAATCCCATGGACAGAGGAGCGTGGTAGGCTACAGTCCATGGGGTCACAAAGAGTTGGACACAACTGAGTGACTTCACTTTTCACCCCAGTAGGTATGGGATTTGATTTTATCGTGATTGTGTCCCTGGTACATCTTGCTGCGGCGGCTTCTTTGTCTTTGGACATGGAGTAGTTTCCAGTGCTCCTATCAATGGTTGTTCAGCAGCTAGTTGTGATTTTGGTGCTTTGGCAGGAGAAGATAAGTGCATCTTCTTCTTCTACACCATCTTCAACTGGAGGTTACTGATTTCATTCTATTAGAGAATTTTAAATTATGTATTTACCTTGCATGATATTGGTTTGCCAAAATGCTTGTTTGGGTGTTGTGTAATAGCTTAGGAAACACTCAAACTTTTTGGCCAATGCAATTTTTTCCTCCAGCAGCACTGTTCTTGGAGGGTAGTGGTGTTGAGAACTAAGGTAAGACAGGACTTCTGCCTTTCTTAAACTTTGAGTCTGTCTCTCATATTTGCTCCATTCTACAAGTTGACAAAGAGCTATTTTAACATCGTAATCTTAGACCGGAAACTGGATCTTGGTGCCGTACCCTAAGGAGTGAATATTTTAAAGTTGGAAGGAGTTGGCTCTGGCCTTGCTTCAGTGTAGAAACTTTCACTGACTCTTGGGGACAGAGAACATGATACGATCTCGACGCCATGGCTTGCTTGCTAAGCTGGAAGCTGGGGACAGTGGGATTGTCTCATCAGCTAGCGCGTGGCCAGGTTCAGATAGGATCAGGATCCTGGGCTTTGAGGGGATATCTCTTTCTCTGAGGCTTGGCTGTGTTTAGGTTTTAACTAAGTACCTTTAAAGGGAAACGATAAAATCTTTTTCGGGAATGGCCCTAAATCCGAGCCGGCTAGACAGGAGTTGCAGAGCAGTCCTGGAGCTCAGGCAGAGCGAGGCAGCAGGGTGCTGGGAGCCGCAGGGCCTGCTCGGGTCGCGGGGACTGCTCGTCTCCTCTTCTGCCGCTTCACAGACATCCCTTCTTACCCTTGGGGGCATTTTATTTACATTGTGAGTGTCCAAGTGAAAGGTATGTTATTTTCTTAAAATATTTTGTGTTCACTTTTGTATAATTTGCTTGTTATCTTAAAAAATTATTTTGTAACCCATTTATGTATTAGTTAGGATGTAATTTCTCAAGTAGTTTAAATTTTACCAAAGGAGGGTTGTGTTCTCTGTCATACTTAGTATCACAGAGAGTATGAAAAATAAGTCTTTAGGTTTGTTTGGCTTTGTTTTCTTATAATATTTTTTTCCCTTTTTCCCCCAAATGGATTATTATTTAGAAGAAATACTAGTTTGGAACTTAGCAAACATTTGAACACTTAAAAGATGAATCTCAATTAAAAAAAATTATTTTAAACCTAGTTGACCCTGTTATAGTTTTATTTTTAGTATAAAAAAGGTAAACATACATAAGCTAAATTAAAGAATATCTATAGATCTGTTTCCATTCAGATATAGAATTCAAAATATAGGAGATTGGTTATAAAATAAAGACAAATTATAAAATAGTTTTCAGTACTTTGAAAATGCTAAAATACTTGATCATATTGAAATTTTTTGTTAGCTCTTCAGTTCCCATCATTTTCTATTACATTGTATTGGAAGTAAAGTAGGGGAAGAGGAATTGAATGAAGTTATTTTATATTAGGAGCAAAAGAGGAATGGGGTTATTTATCAGGTTTATTATATAGCACAATTTTAACCTTTATTTTAGCCCTTTGAATGATGGTTAAAGGTGTTCTGCCTTAACCTCTTTAAGGTCTACAGAAATAGTTTCATTTTTTAAAATATATATACAGAGTATAGCAACAAGTAGTTTTGAGCAAATATTCCCAACATTAAGTTTAAATTAATAGTGGTTATACACGATTAACTGGAGAAGGGAACAGCGACCCACTCCAGTATTCTTGCCTGGAGAATTCCATGGACAGAGGAGCCTGCCAGACCACAGTCCATGGGGTCATAAAGAGCTGGACACGACTTACTAACACACATGCATACATGATTAAACTTAACTTTTTTTGTCTTTCTGTTTTTAGATGTTGGATGTTTACAGTCTAATTCCTTTTGACAATCCAGATGGTGGAGTTTGGAAGCAAGGATTTGACATTACTTATAAACCTGATGAGTGGGACACTAAGCCCCTTCAAGTGTTTGTGGTGCCTCATTCCCATAATGACCCAGGTAAAATCTGCACTTCAGAAATCTGGAAGTTATTAAGTCCTTGTAGGCCCAAAGAATTTTAATGAGAATCAGGTAAACCTACTAATCAAATTTTTGGGATGTTATTATCTGACTTTTAACATATTTTGTATGTCACAGTGTTCTCGTTTTACCAATTTATGGGCCATTCAAGGATAATACTTGTGCAGTATCAAATAGGAATAAACACAAGAAGGTCTTAGCTTTGGGAGATGAAAAGTTACATGCATTTAAGGTACTGATAGTTCATTTTAGTTACTTCTTAAATATTGTGTGAGAGAATTATTTCATGTCCATAAACTCTGCATTAGAAAATGCAGAATGCTCATGGTAAAGTTTGTATCTTTAAAATATAGAAACAACATAAAGTGGTGAAGAGCCTTGGTTTCAAGCAGGCATGAGTGTGAGTCCCACCCCCAACAGTGTTAGACAACCTTAGGCCAGAGTAAGTTTTTTCCCAGGTAGAGACAGGATAAAGTATGCATTTCATAGAGTGAAAGGTTAAAGGCATGTTGCATAGCCCAAGAATAACTGCTGTCATACCATTCGTGTTGGTATTCATTCATGTGACACCTTTTGGTATCTATCAGAGATTTTTCCACCCAAGGTAAAGGAAAGTTGCTAAAATGATAATGGGAAATGTAATTCAATGTTTATCTTTATTAGTGTGAGGACACAGGTAATGAGTAAATGACCCGTAAATTAAGTTGCAGGATTTTTTGAAATGTACTTCCAAAGACTTCTTTTGAAGGACTTACTTACGCTTCTGTTTGTCATTTTTCTCAATTTCATTGTTACTGTTAGAGGCACCATATTCATTTACTACTTTGCATGTTTTTGCTCTTAACAATCAATTTTGTCATATTCTTTTCCACTAGTTTATTTTTATGTATTTCTTTCTAAGACAGTAGAACTTGTTAACTTTATGTCTGGAAGTATGATTTGGTGAAGCTTTGCATGTGTGTGTTTGTCCACGTACACTGCTTTTAGATGTGAAAGATGGTCTGTAAGATAGAGCTTGGATGCTGAAACGTGTGACTCTAGTACACTTCAGTATTTAGTATGAGAAGAAGTATTATATAGATATATGAACTCAATATTGTTCTGGGAATTTGTGATGAGCGGTTACTACACACAGCTTCTGATCTGGTTTCCTTGTCTTTGGTCGTAATGTCTTCATCTAGCTCTGTTTGTCTCATTAACATTTCCTGTTAATGTGTTTTAAGTCATCACCTCAGCAGGTAAAGAATCTGCCTGCAATGCAGAAGACACAGGAGATATAGGTTCTATCCCTCAGTTGGGAAGATCCCCTGGAGGAGGAAATGGCAACCCACTCCAGTATTCTTGCCTGAAAAATCCCGTGGACAGAGGACCCTGGCTGCCTGCAGTACAAAGGGTCACAAAGAGTCAGACACGACTGAGCAACTAAGCATGCACAAAAGCCTCCACGGTGTAAAGGCCGCAGAACTCTGGGGCCAGCCTGGATGAGACCGACCTCCAGGTGTCCTTGGGCTTGTTCGTTTGTGTATCTATAAAGTGGAGGTCATGTAGGCGGCGCAGCATCTTAAGCGAGATTTAGTTATAAAGTAAGTGCAGAAGGTGATGAAAATCATACCTAATCAAAATTTATTTTGCTGTTTATTTACCCACTTGAGCACCAGATTAAGTAGTATATTTGCATTTAGGGGGCACATATGAAAGACATACTATCTTCATTTATATTTGGATTCACTCATTGAGGTGAGGTGCTCACACTTCACATATGGGATCTGAGACTGTAGGACTGTGGATTTTTTTTTTTTTCCTATAAATCTCATTTACTCTGAAATATCTCTTCATTGAGTGAGATAGTGGCCAAGCTGGTTTTATTATTTAAATTGTTCTCTCCTCCTCTTTTCTCTGCCAGTCATGCATAGTTTAATTCTTGTCACTTAATTGGGTTTGTGATGTTATTGCATTATGTTTCCATAATTCCGAATCCATAATAGGAGTTCCAAGGAATTCCTTATGGGTTTATAAATACACTTACCAGTGTGTTTCACAAGACCTCCTCATGTGAACACAACTCTCCTTCCTTTTTTATTTTTTAGAGACCTTTGTTATCCTTTCCTCTTTTCTGCCATCCTCAATTTCCACTGATCTCATTTCTTGTTATTCTATAATGTGGGCTCTTAACTGAAATAATAAAATTTGTAGTTTACCAGGCACTGTGCCAGATGTTTTATAAACAGCTAATGCTGACAATAACTTTTGAAGGTTAGTGCCACTATTCATGATGAAGGTGTTACCAACTTGCCAAGGTTACACAAGCAATAAGTGGCAACAGAGTACTTCCCTGTTGGTTTACCTGGATCGGCAGAGAACATGGGTCTCTTGTTACACGCTGTCCTCATTGCCTCGCCCAATAGTTGACATATAATCTTCGCTAAATATGTGTAAAGCCTTTACTAACTCGCCTCCTTCACAACTGTTTCACACTGTGTACACACACACGCACACGCTTCATGCTTGCATATCAGCACAGATACAAACTTTTGATTGGTCTCATTACTGGAGTGTAAGCTCAGTGAGGGCTTGAACTTTGTCCTGTTACCGGCTGGGTTGTTAATACCTCAAACTGCACATAGTACAGACTCATTCAGTTAAATAAGCTAATGAACAAAGGAATCTGATTCTGCAGACTCAGATCAAACAGTTGACTTATTCTTTGGCCTGTACTTTCAACTGCCCTCCTTCTTGTTGTCTACTTATTTCCAGCCCTTTAAAAAATAGCTTCTTTAAAGTGCACTGTATAATTTTGAATATCAATAACATGATATTAAGCCCTTAAAAGGCAGGGACTGTCTCTGCCTTTTAAACTTTGTTTGCATTAAGCTTCCTGTTGCAGTTAGTATGTTGTTCTGTGAGAAGGCATTCTGAATAATTGTTCCTGACTAATAAATGAGTCTGTCTGTTGGTATCCTAGCAACCGCAGTTGAATCTTTTTGTCTTAGTGAAAGATGTTAATGACCTTTACCCTCAGGCTCTTCTCCACTTGAGTCAAAAGTAATGGTCAGAAACAGACCTTTTAAAACTAAAGCAATTTTTGCTATCAAGCAAACTGCTAGAGAAAAGAACCTGCTGACTTAATTTTCATTGCTCCTTAACAAAAATAGAATTTAGATAACTGAATTATTCTGTAAAAAACTGAATCATTCAGACCATGAAAAACCACTCTTTCAGCAGAGGAAAAGAGGTGAGTATGTACACATGCATTCCAAGTTAAAGCGTGACTCCGCGATGGGAAATATTTGTATGATACTCCTAAATGAATGTGCAATTTACTTGTAAATGAAATTTATAGAGAGTTTTTCCTTTCGTGCAGCAACAGTTTAAAACAAACTTCAGCCCAGTAGCTGGTTTCATCAGTGGGGTTTTGTCCGTTGGGGCTAGAAATATTTGAAATAAATTTTTAGGAAATTCCTATATTAAGTCACCATACTTAAAAAACTATGTTGCTGCATTTTTGTGTGTGGAGATATTTTTCTTTTTGGATTGAATTGAAAAGGTAAATTTCAAATTATATTTATATATTAATAAAATTTCTAACTGTGTCTTTTTCTAGTACATAAGGACAGGTAACAATTATCATGTAATATTTTATATGATTTACATGAGTTGAAACAAACTTGGAAAGGAATCAAGTAAATGCTGATAATTGTATACTGTTACGCTTTTTAAAAGTTTTGAATCATAGACCATGAAATTAAATGTTAGTTGATTGATACGTGTTCATGTTGTATTTAATAAGCTGATTAAAACACCATTAACAGCACCTTTATATCTACAATCTTAATTCTTTGCTTCCTGTTAGTTAACTGTGGAAATAGTTAATTTTCCTTCAAAGGAAAAAAGTGTGTAGAGAGAAGGTAAGGTACACTAAATGAAAAATTGGACAGCATATTGCTAGTTAAGCAGTTTGTGAAATGAACATTAGAAAATAATCCTCCCTTGTGGTGTGACTCCAAAACTGAAGGAAGATCTAGGCCCAAGAGTCACACTGGAAGATAATTTTCTTTCATGAGTTTTCAGTTCTTTTGCAGAATTTTTGACTCAAATGAGTGTTTAGGATTTTCAGCCTTTGTTTTTTGAAAACTGAGAGGACGGATTTTTGCATTTAGTATTATATGATAATTTGAAGTGAATTTGCTTATGTATCCTTATTCTTAAAAAGTCTGTGGAAAAGAGAAACATGTGAGGACATCACAGTGTAATGTTATTCCCCAGGTCATCTGTTCCAATACGTTAAGCACAGTCCAGAGAGAGCAATTCTGGTTCTCCATGGGTGAGTGAACGTCCACGCAGGCGAAAGGCCGGGGACGGAGCTCAGGCTGCCAGAGGAGACTGCCAGGTGGAAGGAGGGCGTCGGGAGAAGGCGAGCTTTGTCTGTGGCAACAGTGGGGAGTGCATATGTTTTTCTGTTTAGTTTTTGTGGGGTAAAGTGAGTTCTTTGGTTTTGGCTACTGTACAGGAAATTTGAGTTTCTGGAGCTAAGACACCATGACCTTCATTGTCCATCTTGCCTCAGGGAGTGTTGGGTATGGGTTATTTAGTGTAACCTGTCCTGCAACCCTGAAAAGTGGTAAATTCAAATCCCATTTACCAGGTGAGGACAGTGAGGCTAGAGTAACTGTAATTGTTTAACTACAGTTAAACAGTTATAAAGTGGCAGAGGATGGTGAATTGGAGCTCAGATTTGCCTGATTCTAAGTCCCATATTCTTTCCATTTACTATACTGCCTCTTAAGATACTTTGTTTAGTTCAAATGATGCTGGTATTTCTTTTCTTCTTGCTTTATGGGCATTGGCTAATTTAGCACATTTGTCTGAACTTTGGTTGTTAATAGAGTTGCCAGATTTAGCTGGGGAAAAAAGAAAACAACAGGCTGCTCATTTACATTTTAACTTCCTATAAACAATGTATAATTTTTTACATGTGCTGC